CTCCTAGTAACAAAGAGCATTACTACTAGGAGCAAGTAGCTACTAGTAAAAAGAAGCTACTAGGAACAAGGGCATCGCTCCAAGTAACAAAAAGCATTACTACTAGGAGCAAATAGCTACTAGTAACAAGATGCTACTAGGAACAAGGGCATCACTCCTAGTAACAAAGAGCATTACTCCCAAGAGCAAATAGCTACTAGGAACAAAGGCGTCGCTCCTGGTAACAAGGGCATTACTACTTGGAGCAAATAGCTACTAGGAACAAGAAGCTACTAAGAACAAGGGTATCGCTCCTACTAACAAGGCCATTACTCCTTGGAGCAAATAGCTACTAGGAACAAAGGCGTCGCTCCTGGTAACAAGGGCATTACTACTTGGAGCAAATAGCTACTAGTAACAAGAAGCTACTAGGAACAAGGGCATCGCTCCTAGTAACAAGGGCATTACTACTTGGACCAAATAGCTACTAGTAACAAGAAGCTACTAGGAACAAGGGCATCGCTCCTAGTAACAAGGGCATTACTACTTGGAGCAAATAGCTACTAGGAACAAGAAGCTACTAGGAACAAGGGTATCGCTCCTACTAACAAGGCCATCACTTCTAGGAGCAAATAGCTACTAGTAACAAAGGCGTCGCTCCTGGTAGCAAGGGCATTACTACTTGGAGCAAATAGCTACTAGGAACAAGAAGCTACTAGGAACAAGGGTATCGCTCCTACTAACAAGGCCATTACTTCTAGGAGCAAATAGCTACTAGTAACAAAGGCGTCGCTCCTGGTAACAAGGGCATTACTCCTAGGAGCAAATAGCTACTAGGAACAAGAAGCTACTAGTAGCTGAAAGACCGACACAGCCTTCGCCCCTTCCCCACCCGTTGAGACGGGCTTCCGCTCCCAACTGTGCGGAGCAAAGATCTCCCATTCGCAGCCCTCACAATCTACCTGGCAGTCACCGGCAAGACGGCAGCCCAAGGCAGCCCAAGTAGTTCTGAGGTCCCACACCAACTGGAAGTGTATTAGACTAGGGAGACCCTCTATACATTATTGACTATTGACTATAGTCGTTGTTTCCTGTTCGCAAGGGTCGAATTGGGGGATCTCTCCGTTTTGAAGCACATTCAGCTGGAAGTGCGTGGGAAGAGCTCGTGCAGTTCACACTTTTTCCATGGTCCACTGGCTAACCCGGCTTTGACCGTTGGCAAAACATGCTAGGACCGATAGGAAAGTCTGTTGAGTCTTCTGACATCTTCCCTCACTTCCACCTTCAGAAAATCAATGTGCTGGAAGCCAAGCCTGGACACGCACAGACGATCTTCCGGGATCTTCCGGCTTTCCGTACTACCTGTGGTCCTCTGGTAGATGCCCTGGAAAAAGTGCAGGCCATTCGTCTTGATTCATCTGGGCCAGTAAAAATTATGGACATTATAGAGTTCTGGCCATGGCTTGTATCAAACTTCCACACACATCCGGGAACGCTTAGGCTTCCGCACGTCCAGAGCACATCCCCCAGCGTCAAGATCGGAGAAGAGAAACGAATCTGCCAATCGGTGAACCTCCCACAAGGGGAAGGCTCTACTGGTCTCCGAGAAGGGCGACCGGCGAGAAGGAAGGAAGGACGGAGAAAACTACAACGAAAGAACCGGCGACGGAGCGAGCGAGAGAGAGAGAGAGAGACAGCGAGAGAGAGAGAGAGAAACGCAACAAATGCACATCTTCTATATAGTCTATTTACAACCGCAGAAGGGGATTAGTGGCGGTGGTCACAAGTAGTTGAGATCTCTTGGTTGGCCTCACAAAGCACGGAACCGGGAAGAAAATGTGGCTACGGCTACGATCTGCCGCGTGACTTGGAACCAAACCAGCAAAGATTAGATTCAAAAACCAGTCAGCATGCAGGGGCTGACAATGGCCACTTGAGTCACGGTCAAGAGCGCACTTATGCCACTTGCGCAATGCTTACGTGCGTCAGGTTTCAGCCTACGCAATGGGGCGAGCTTACCGGGGCTTACACGGAAGAAAAACTTCAACCACACCAGAGCAGCAGCTGGCGCACAGGTTGATTAAAGCTGGTGTAAACTCGCAAACTACATTTATATATATATATATATACAGCAAGAAAGATTTGCGAGTTTGCTTGTGCAACATGTGTCCTCGAAAATATGCTTATGCGAGCTTGTGTGCGGCTTACATTTTGACAAAACATTACAAAACTCGTTCATCTCCTGACTACAAAAGGTTTTGACATGTTTTGACCCTTGCTCAATCTTGCTCAGGCTTTCATGCCAGACATCACTTTTTGGCTGCGCACCCTCCACGCCAGGAGTCATCATCGTCTTGACAACCCTCCATGCAGTGTTGGGACCATGTTGGGTACCTCACACGCTTGGTGGGGCTTGAGCTGGGTTCCGTCTTCCGTCTTTGACGCTGTGCAGAATATGCTGTTCGACCATAGGTCGAGGTCTGAATGACACAGAAAATAGCAAATAAGATAAGAGGTGATCCTACCCGTCGGATCCTACCGGAATGTATTTCGAATCCTGTCTCTATCACTCTATCGCATGCTGTCGCCACTCATGCTGCATCGCTGGGAGGCCTTAACTGCCGTCTCCAAATAGTATGGGCCATGGGTGAGCTGTGTCTGGAAAAGCCAGTGAGAAATACATGAGGTCTCACATAATGTGAGTACGCCCTTTAAGAAGCCATCACTCTCACAGCACCTGATACATGATGGCACAAAAACATCGCAGTGGGGCACGTGGGGGAGTAGAAGAAGTGACGGATCGGTGTTGGTGAAGCACCAGCGGCAATATTCAAAGGCCAGACCTGGGTGTGTAACTTGACATTCTCATTATCCAGTCCAAGCTTCAAAATGTTTTCATCACAAGCAGCTCAAGCATTGCAGTCACAGCCAAAAATCAAAAACAGCTACACCCTGGGACTTGCTTCGGGGCTCAGATCTTGGCACAGTCCGTCACGTGGTTGATCTGCACAGTGGCTGAGTGGCAGTATGCACCGTGACAGCCGTCGGCCCAGGGGTTAAGACGCCCAGTGGGAAACTGGAGCTCTTGGCCCAGTGCGTTGAAACGGACAAGACGCCCAAACGTCATGGTTCTCAGCGGATGTACAAGTCAGGAGCACCGCTCACCTGCACCAATCCCAACCCACTCGCACCTCCGGCCCTACAACCATACCTCAGTGCATGTCAGTCATGAAGCTTTCGGGACAAATGGCGGGAAAGGCTGTAGAGCCAACTGTTCAGCCGTTACAACGTACTCTCATTTCCCATGGATTCCCCTCCCCGCACCCGGCGCACCCGGAGGTTCCACAGCAAATAGCGAAAGTTCGGTGGTGCGGGCTCCAGGGCCAGCACCTTTGCTCCGGCCTCGCACGATGCGAAAATCGGCCATAACACGCGTCGTCGCTTCGGAAATCGATCAAACACGAAAAGAATGTGTCGTGGATAGATAGATTCCAGTTCACACAAAGCCATTTCATGTCTTTTTTCAGTGTTTGAGCGTGGAACGTTGGGGAAATCCATGAGTTGTTAGGATTGTCTAGTCTTACATGGTCCACAAAGGAGGTGCCCGCTGGGATCGTGGCCCAAAGCTTGCAAAGCAACACCGAGACCAATCCGATCCTTAGAGGAGAAGAAGCCGTCGCACGATCGGTCGCCGGGTCCTTACGCGGACGACGGTTGGGCCATGCAATGGCGACGAATGGTCACTGTCCATGGATTCCCTCGGCCCACGCATCGCTGGCGCTTGGACGACTTGGAGAGGCACGAAGCGCCAATGTCAACGGCCACGGGCGCCTCCATCGACGGCCCCAGCTTTGGGGGATCCAACTCCCGAGTCTGAAAACTCGTACGTGTAGCTTGGATTTCCTAGGTTCGGCAGCTGAAAAATGTAACTTACAATGTCTGGATTGCGTTTGAGGGCCAACAAAAAGGTATGACTCGGTATGACTCTGACCCTACAAATGGCCTGAAACATAAAGCTTGCTTATCTGAGGCAGTCTTAGAAACATACCAGTACATGCTTGAGGTCTTTCATGTTGTCCAGTTGTCCAACTGCCCTATCAATTCCACCCAAGATTTGATTGCTTGAATTGGTTTACAGTGCCTTCACCCGTAAAATCATCTAAAATCACTTGAGTGAGCCCATTCAGCAACTGTTTCGAGAGCAGGTTGAATTGAAAGTTACATGTTTCCAACCCCTCCACCCCGTCTCTACCCCAGCAGAGAGGTCACTTACATGTTTGACCTCCCAATCCATGGGCGCGACACGTGACCAATGCCGTGACCCACATCGACGGTTTTCCGAAAGGAATCGGCTCCAAAGTCTGATCACAACTTCTGTGCATGGAGAAAAACAAGAGAATTCCATTCCGGCCGCGGACACTTGGCATCAGTCAACCTACATTCGCTTGTGGCCACTATTGAAGCCTTCAGCTGGGAATGGTTGTTCATGAAATTGTTCACGGGGGGTGTAGTGCAGGGATGTGCAGGGTGAGCGAAAGGAGACTTCAGGCAACTCGCTTGGATGCATTGGTGCACCTGGACTATAAGACCCTTTCTTTATCTGCCTGCTTCACGTTTCTGCACAACGTCAGCCAGCCCATGACCCCAAACCCTCTTCAGCTGATGAAAAGAACGAAAAGAGCCTGTTAAGTGACCGTCAGTGAGCCGAGGCAGCAGAGACAAGAAGGCGATTGACGAAGAAGCCTGGAAAAACCTTGCTTAAAAAGACCCATGCTCCGACGAAAAAAACAAAAAAAAAGTTCACCAGGAATGTCCAGGAGTTCCCCAAATCGCACCCATTCCCGCCCGGTCAAACGCATGAGTTCCCCCTAGCACCTGATCGTCTAGAAGCTCTACATGCTGCAGTCGGTACAAGTCTTCACCTGAACAAGCATTTGGCAAGGTGAGACTTGGACCTACTGTATCAAAGTTTGGGTTTGACATCTGACAAGCTGGACATATGGCCTCCTTGTACTAAGCAGACCTAGGAATACATCTGGCATCATAAGTTGGGAGATGAGTAACCAAAGTAGTCAGTCAGGTAAGTGCCAGACTCTCAGTCAGGTAGCGCCAGTCAGGTAGCGTCAGTCAGGAAGTGCGCACAGTGTTAATAAATCACAGGAAAGCTGTTTTAAGCCCTTGATTTTTTGGCGAGCTGACTTTGCTACAAGCAACAAGTATTCATGAAATGTAGAGTATTTGCATGGTGGCTTCCGAGCTCACAACGAAGATTACAGGGTTGTTTATTGTTTTCCTATTGAAAGTAAGATCGCAATCATCAAGGTGTGAAGGCAAGTGTGTGCATTGTTAGGAAAATGTGCGCTACATACATGAGCCATGCAAACAGGAAAGGTGCAGAGCCATTCAATTCAGGCTCAGGCATGCTACAATTGCAGGAGCGCTTTCGGAATAAACGCAGAAATGGCTCTGATAGAGAAAACATGCCAAAGGCCTCAACTTGTCAGGTGATCCAATGTGATCGACCCAATTGACCCCCACCCAATTTGGCCATTCCAACTCAGCTCAGTCCCAACTGCTGGGAGCCCAACTCAGCTCTTCGAGAACTTTGCCCAGAGCTGGACCAGAGCGTTTGAACTCAGTCACGCTGCTCACGGCTTCAACGGCTATGGATCATCCCCAGTGGTCACACAGTGGTCAAAAAGAAAAATGCTACTAGTAGCTCCTGGCATTACTACTAGTAGCTAGAAGCTACTAGTAACGGATCTGGCCATCTCTGGCGATGGTCACCGGATCTGGTCACAAACGGGACGACCGAGGCACTGGGGATGCCGACAGCAACAAATTCCAAGTGATGCCCCAAAATCTGAGCGTGTGCACACTACATTACACTACAGAGTACTTCCACATGGTTCGAACTTGGCACAACAGGGGTGCTTCAAACCGAAGGACAAGCAACTCTGAAAAAATACCACGCTGAAATTTGGCAGATCGTCAATCTGAAATGATTGAAGAAGCGTACACACACACACAAATCGATTCAGGACACCAAGGCTGATGGTTCCAAATATATAGCTACTAGGAACAAGTGCATCGCTACTAGTAACAAGTGCCTTACTAGTAGTAACAATGTTTGCTATTAAAAACAAGAAGCTACTAGACCCGGCGTTCGTCCTTCTGCGAGATCCGGATCGACGCATTGCTGATGCTCCCCTGGCGGCAGTGCATGGTTGAAGCAGAAAATGGATGGTTTGCTGTTTGCAGGGTTCAGGGACACCCTGAAGTATGTACTTCTTCCAAAAGACCTGCAATACCTCTAGTGATCTAGTGGTACGGCAAGCAAGCTTAAACACATCATTGGCGGTTCCTCTATTTTGTGTTCAGTAAATGTCTTCACGCGTTCAAAGCCTCGTGCAGTGTGATCACACGGACTACTACCGGTTCATGACCTGCGTAAGTGGTTCGTGCCTCCCACGCCCTTTGACTGGAGCTGAAGGAGGGATGAGCCACCCCAGCCTCAATGCAAGAGAATGCAAGAGGCAACTCTCATGCTTTCCATCTACAGTAAGTCCATCTGAAAAGGAGTCGCTGTGCACAAAAGGTGTGATGTGGTCATTCAACTGTCCAAATGTACATCTCTAGACACAACTGGCCAACTGGCTGGATTTGGAGGAAAGCCTCAACAAACTGAAACTCACAACAGACCTGCAACCAATTTGAAAGGCGTGGCAACAATGTGAAGTTTGAAAGCTAGAATGTATACATGCTCCCATATGCTCAAACGGCTTTTCAATGATGCGTTGCATTGGCGGCATGAAGTGAAGGCAAGAGAAGAGCGGGATTCCCACTCTGCCGCAGGTCGACGGCCAAATCTCACTTCAGTGCGTCCCTTCAATCGATTCTTGGGGAACAAGCAGCATTGATCTGGACATCAATTGGTATCTCATCACAAAGTGTTGAAATCTCGCACAAAGCCTGGTTTTTCCTTCCACCCAGTCGAACGTGGCTCGGTGATGGAAGTAGACGTGTGCAAAAATGCGGTAAAGCCTCCGTGACATGGATTGAAAGTGCTTCGCACAGTGCTTGGCACTTGGAACTTCTTCTAACCCTGGTCCTGAGGCTCGGGTCGCAACCGGATCTCGGGTCGCCCTCGGCCGGTTCGTCAGCAAGGCGGTGGAACCCTCGATGGTGTGACGGATGTAGTCGATGGCCGCACAGTCCTGCGGCTTTCGATGCGCTGCACAGAGATACTGCCACTCATTGGAGGCCGTCATCTTCGGGCAGGTCTCCACGGTGCATTCACCGGCCAGGGCAACCAACAAGAGGTTGAACTCCAAGACAAACTGGCGCAAGTGCTCATACTGCCACAGCAAGACATCAATCTCTGGGCTGGGCAGCTCGTAGATCTTCTCGATGTCTGAAGGCTTCGACCGAATGAGGTCTTGGATATATTCGGAAAGGGCCAGCGGACCGTCATAATCACTGAAGGGGCGGGCACTCCACTTCCACATGTCTGCAGCCTTCGTGCCAGGTAGGTTTCGATGCAAACGTTGCTGGCCATCTCCATCTTCGCTCATCGGCCGATGTTTTCGGCGGCTCAAGGTGTATTGCTTTGGCTATTTGGAATCCCACTTTTTGGAATCGACATCAGGCTTGGCTCCCAAGAAAGCCTAGCTCTCTTTGGGTTCCAGGGCTGAGCGTCCACGATGTGGGGGCTTTGAAGGTGGGGGGTTTCCTGTCGTCTCAGGGGTAAGATCGTTTTCTTTTGGAGCTGGCCTCAAGCCTGGTTGTTGCGGACAGCTCATGTAAAGCATGCATGCTCGGCTTTTGTGAAAGGTGCCTCTTGGAGATCCTGCATAACTTTGCTTGTTGCGTCAATCCTCACAAGGACTTGAGCCATTACAAGTTGGAAATTGTTGGAAACGTGTGTTTCAAATGCCCAGAATGCAAGGCCACATCGGCTCTGCACATCTCAGAATAAATAGTAAGTTTGCAAGTTAGAACATCCGCCAATCTCCATATTAGTGCAGGGAGAGTAAAACTAAAACCTCTTGGGTTGAGGATGGTCTAGGAGCCACTTTGAGATAGGATCCAAGTAGGCAACCAGCGCTGAACATGATTTGCCGTGGCGTTCATCTTCACCTGGGCCATTCTTGATGAGTCTCCCACCGAGGGTGCAGAAGCCCAGCGGGAGGCATCCTGGACAAGGTCGAACTGTATAGGTTTGTCTCATCGTGGACACCTGGAAATGGACCCAAGAAGTTTCTGCATTGTTTGCTTGAACGAGGGTGTAGTAGATATCGAGACAGCTACCGGACTGGGTTCAGCTCGGAGCAGCTACCAGACTGGGTTGTTTGTTCATTGATGTGCACTTGGCCAAAAACAGTCGCAGGGCTATATTGGTTACTCCTGGTCAGGTGTGGACATCTGGAGTAGTATATAGATCGACTTTGATTAGGCCATTGTGCGGCGTGGACCTGCAAGATGATGCTTAAGCAGACTGCCATAGTGGCTACACAAATCAACTGCCTGCAAGAACGATCCATCATGACAAGAGCATCTTGGAATCCAATAGAGTCATACAGAAGACCTGGGTAGATTGCTATAAGAGTCCAAAGAACAACAGACTGTCCACATTCTATCCTTCAAAAGAATAACCAAGTTTCCATACATATGCTTACATGTGTGTATATAAGTACACAATGTGCCTGCCTAGGTCCTGGTATCCCTCACTTGGGCCCTTTCATGAACCTTGCTGGGTGCCATGTCTGCATCTGGTGGTGCCTCCCAGTCAACATCCAGGGCTTCTGCTGAAGGGAAAAGCCGCGCATAGCCCTTGCTGCAGCACTCCTCGCGCACTCCCGGATCCGACGAACGAAAACAAACTGCTCCGGCGAGCCATGCCACCACAGCAGGCGAGTCATTGGATTGTACCCGCCCCGAAAACTGGAGGTGGCTGTCATTCAATTCATGTGTGTGTGTGTGGCTTGTTTAATCTTCTGCTTGTTCAATCTTCTGCCATCACATAGTTTGGGGGGGCCCATCGGTTCCCTCAGTTTCAAAAAACTTTATATAGGCTTCAGCTTGGAATGGAGACATCGCTTTCTTGTAGATAGTAAAGGGAGGCTTCAACCAAAACAAGTGTATGTATGAGCACGAGCACTCAAAGGAGACAAACAAAAAAACTTCACTCAGCTGACACTAGAAGGGCTTTGCAAGCAGCTAAGAGCATTCACCAAGCTGTTACCGCAACATCTTTGTTTCACCAACTGGGATTCAAGAGGAAGAGGATTCAATGCAAAGTCCTACAAGCGCGGCAAAGCAATCATGCTCCTTCCTTGTGTAGATGGAGTCAAAGCACGAGGATGGCTTGTCACAGCAGGCTTCCCTACCCAACCCAAAAACAGAGAGTGAACCAAAACCAGTGTTGTCATCTTCAAGTCGGCCATTTCCAGAAGCACACCTTGTGTTCAAATGCTGTGAAATGTGACTAACTGGCATGAACCTCACTATTTGACATGTGCAAAACCCAGAAACAAAATGTAACCTCTTGTGCTTTATACATCCAACTATCTACAATATTATATAACACTCTCTCTCTCTCTCTCTTCTGTTGACACGTAACTATAGAGAGACCGTTGTGGACCGGTCGAAAGCCGCCCCACTCAACCTGCCTGGAGTGCCCGGTCTCCCAGCACGACACCATGGAAGCATCCAAGGCCTGTGCAAAAGTGCGGGAGCGGCACAATGTGCTGAAAATCTGTGATCACTTCAGGAAGTGACTCTGAAGTGAAAATTAGATGATGCACGTTTAAGTCTTCAAGCACTGATGGACCAAGCAAAAACCTTACTGTGAAAGGTTTTACCGCTTCATCCTTCCTGCTTCTTCAAGGGATTTATCGAGGGGTCAGTTACAAGCTTTAGCGCAGGGCAAGCCCTGAACAGGCATGTGCCGAGGAGTTGCTGCAAAACTTGCAATGCGGCGGCTGCAGTTTCTTACTGTTTTTGCCACATTAAGCGCTGCAAACAAGCACTTCTTGGCCAGCCCATACAACATTGACGGGGTGGCCATGAACCAAAGCTCGAACCACAGACCAATGAACTCTCGGCTGCGTCCACAGAGTTATGCCCCTTTGGAGCAGAAAAATGCGCTTTACGTATAACAAAACATGGCAGGTCAAAGACCACGCGACACCTCCAACCCAATTCTGAAGCACCAAGAAATAGAACTACTTCCGTGGAGATGCAGGGTGTGGTGTTTTGACTCAAGACCACATCCTCCTTGAGAGGGAAAACTAGCATGCGCATTTTCTGTGAATTGGAGTTTCCGGTGAGCTGGCGAAAGCAAGCCTGCACCCCAGGTCACCAGCAATAATATTAAGGCTGATAAGGATTTCAAGCCAACTGCTGCACAAACCGGAAGATCCAACCTCCACAGACCGTCGGAGCCATGCAGTGTTCATGTACTCCAACGGTTGAAAAACGCAACGCTAGTTGGAAGGGTTTGGTTAAAAGTCAAACACGGAGTCCTTCGTGTCATTTTGAAACGGCATTCATTCTCATGTCTCACTCCCATAAGTTCAATGCTTCTTCAATCTTCTTTCAGCTTTTGCTTTGTCAGTCATTAGTGCAACGTTCAGTCTGAAGATGAGCTAGTTGCACCAAGCTGTGCACGTGGTGGATGACTTAAGTAGACTGAATCGGGTAGGTAAAGACTCTTGTGCTTCACCTGCATGACATGGGGTGTTTTTGTTCCTTCCGTCTTCGACCGCTGAAGCAGGCACGAGTTCGGCCGCACTCATCGGTGCACTAGGCACAGCCAGGGGCCACCTAAGCTGTGTGTGTGTGGCTAGGAACTGCAGAGCCCAAACACCGATGAAAACCAAGTACATCGAAATGATTTTGAGGTTCTCTTCCCCAGATCTTGTATCTGGAGTCCTGTCAAATCGATGTTGTTCCTTCCTGCCTGATGCTGTCCAGTCCAAAAAAGCTTTTCAAACAACACATGTTGTCACATCCACTCGGACCCGGGACCCGGCGCCCGGGTCCACCCTCGAGGCACTTTGAGCGTTGGCAGGCCGGGCTTGGGAGACTGGAGCAAGGTACCGGCCTCAAACTGGCGGGACCGTGTCGAACACACCGTGTCCACGTTCGGTGTGTTCTTCACACTTCGGTGTACGAGAAACTCCCTGGACCACATCCGGGTTACTGTGTTGGCTTTTTGGTTTTGGGCAAAGGCAAACGCGGGTGCAAACGACATCCAATGACCATGATGAAGCTTCTATTTTGGATTCTGGTGAAGACACATTTCACCACCAATCGCAAGCACACCGTGAACACAGCAATGTCGCCAAATCCCCCATGAGCCATGATCAACCACCAGCACAGACCAGTACAGAACGACTCAGAACGACTCAACAATGTGATGCAAAACCGCAAACTTACTACTTAGCTGCTGAGCTCATTGTTTCGCTCTCCTTTTGCGGGACACACCATGCGAAGACATCCTCCAATCCATCCGCACAGACGGCGCAGGCGCCTTCGTGGGCTGCGACAATGTCACCCGCCGCTCTGCGCCCATGATCATGGCCACCTGTCGTGTTGATTGGTTGAACGATCCACATGGCCATGCTATGGTTGTGTCGAGCAATGGCAGCAAAAACATGACCAACCATCAAGTAAGTATGTTTGGGGGGAAAGGAAAAACAAGTTTAAAAAAATAAAAAGATAGCAAAACAATGCAAATGAAAATACAAAAGCAACGCAATTTGCTTGGTTGGTGCATTTGTGTTGCTTGTTGTTTTGTTTTGTTCCTGGTACCACTTCTGCACTTATGAGAACTTTTACCCGTCAACAATATTCGCTATACGCTCCTAAGGAAAAAAGCGAAAAACAATGCGGAAAAAAAAATGTGAAAATAAAGCGGGAAAAAAAAAGTGAAAAGAAAGCTGTGAAACAAAGTGAAAAGAAAGCCACAAACACGCAAAGCTACATGTGTTGCTTTTTTTGTGTTTGCTTTACTTTTGCTTTTGTTTGCTTTGTTGTTGCTTTAAAAAGATAAATTTTGGCTCCTTGTATCTATGGCTGGCGTGCCGAACTCAATGCTATGGTCGGTCAATCCGATTGTGGTGGGGACCCGACCAAAAACGCTGTTGGGGACTTGAGGTGCTTTGGATCAGATTCTTGACCCCGCACAGGGTTGTTGAAGCTAGTTGAAGGGCAAAGTTTGGAGCATTGCAGCTACAGGGGAAGAAATCATTCAACGAATCACTCCAGCCCCTGGATGTGGGCTGCCTTCGCTCTGAACGGAGGCCTGATAGCTCATCCGGTCGATGTCATCGGCCGCATGCGAAAAGCTTGCACTGCCCATACAATCGTCATAGCACCTGACAGGTCTTCGGCAGCAGGTCGTTTCAATCAAATGGAGGGACATGCCGAATCTGTCGTTTTTACCCCCTCGCAGTGTTGGAAGATGGTCACTTGCGTCAGAGAATCTCGCGTATCATCCTGTACAAAGCATAGTTTCAGAGCTGGCTCCGAGTGTCGTACAGCGAGAGGATTGGCTGCCGGTGTGCCCATGTGCAAGCGTGTTGGCCATGAAAGGGTGCACACGACGGTGAACGGGAGCACAATCATGTTGATGCATGTGCACTGCGTGCTTGCCAAATGCAAGACATTGGTAAAATGATCCTGTGGCATGCTCTAAACTCTTTGAAACAGAAGCAGGATCTGCCCATCTTAGGGGTTTAAGATTCTAAGCGGGCCTTGAAAAAATGCTGATGATCTTTTCCTTCGCTTCAGAGGTAAAGACAACCATCCCCACCTCAGGCAAATCGGGTTTGCAGTTGCCCATTCCAGTTGAAAAATTGCATTGAAGGCAGCTGAAGGCAGTTCATTGCAAAAAGAAAGTTGCTAGACTCGAGCCCCCATGCTAGAGTCGAGGTCTTACAATCCAAATAGGGAAGCTATTAATCAAGAGTCTAGAGTCTACATGACGCACCAATCGATGTGCATCTTCCATGCACACCTCGCAACAAGGAATCACGGCGAATCCACCCAGTGTCCACCAGCAACTAGGCAGACGGACCGTGATCGCCCGCAAGGTCATTTTCTTCCAGCGCCCGATCTCGGCCTTTCAGCACCCAAGGGTTTAGAAGATTGACGAAGGGATTTGAACACCCTTCGAGGCTTGGAGGAGTTGTCCACAACTCACCCCAGGGTGAATGAGAAATCTCCAGTACCAGTACAGTCTTGATAATTCTTCTTAGTTCAGGTCAAACTGTGCGGCCGGGCACACTAAGACTGATACTGATAATCTGAATTGTGGTGAAAAACGCTGAATGAATCTGTCCGCTCTGAATGTGGCGGACCGCCTGTGCTTTGTCCAATCCTCGGTTCTGTCTCAAGTTGGAGACCGTCTCGTACATCCACTGGAACAGCCTCAAGAAGGTTTGCTGCTGCACTCACTGAACTTGAGAATATGGGAACCGCGTCCTTTTTGGAAGGAAAGCAATCATCATCTCAATGTACATGTTTTACAAATAAAACCAAAATGGTAGAAGTACAAACCTGTATATACACTTTTCACAACTGATGTCTTCTACCAGTCCCGAGCGCTAAAGCCAACCCAAATTCTCAACAATCAACAAATGATGCTTTTCTGTACCGCTTCTCACTCTGAGATGTCCATAGACAATTGAAGCGTGCAGCAGGTCTCCCTGCGGTTTCCAAAGCTTTTCAGATCACGGTTGCGGCACTCTGAGGTCAACTGTATAGCCTCCGCAAGACTCCCTCCCGCCTGCTGCCGAGCTCAGTATTGACACATTCCCAGACTCTGCTGGAGGCTTGTGTTAAAGTCTGTAGACCAGCCTGTCGGGCTGCTGTGCACACTTCCGAACTCCGGCCAAAGCACAAGCTTGGGAACATGCCTCATGACAGCATCATTCGTGTTCTTTGTTCTGGGTGTTACATAAGCCTCTCTTGTTCGGTGGCAAACACCAGTTCGCCGTAGCACCCTCGAAATGTCTGACGTCTGGCACCTGTGTCTCCACTTCCATTTGAAGGCGCTCCAAATTCCAATGTTTTACGAGACATGGAAGCTCTGAACAAAGAATCTTTTCCTTGGCACACCAAAACATGTGTTTCGCTTTCAGCAAAGCGCCGAACTTCCAAACATGCACAAACAGCACAAGCCTAGTCAACTCTCACCATTTCAGGGACAGGTCTCAGCCTGTGATTCTGCCAAAAACGTATGGCCTGTGTCAGTAATGGCCATGCGGCAAAGCTACTAATTCTGGAATAAATAGCGGTAGGTCCATCGTTTGATGCATAACCACCTTGGCTGCTTGGTTTTGGGCTTTGGTCAAAGTGGTGACTTCAGTTGGCCAGTTCATGTCAATCTAAAGCAATGCACTTGGCTGCATGCAGATTCCAGTTCCACATCTTCAAGAGATCGTCCAGTTCCAGGCTGGCGGTCTTGGTGTCTTTTAGTCAGCTTTATCAAGCTTCATCAGACTTGTACTGTACAATCTGTAGATCAAGGTGTATCAAACTACAGCCCTGATGAGAGGTGTGTGTGTGTGTGTAACCCTTGGAATCATAGGGATCCTTTTGGATTTTG